ACTACTGAATAATATTGGCTTACATCTCAGACTGCTAACAAGTCTGATGAGCAAATGATTTCAATTTTTCCTGTTTTCAGATGGAAGAACGAACGACGAAGCGAAGATGCGAAAATGATCTACTGAATATGTTGTGCTATTATTTCAGTTACAAGATGTGTTTATAGGCATCAGTATTATTAGTACAAATATTCGTCATAATATTATTATTAGTATCGGTAATAGTAGTAATAGTGGTATTTGTTATTGTAGTTGTAGTGGTAGTAGTCTTGGTAAGTTTGTTAACGGGGGTTGTATTCGTTGAAAAAATAATTATAGTTTTACTTGCATTTACATAATATCTATTTTGCTGATGAACATTAAATGTGAAAATATACATTACAGTACAATTAGGCAACCTCATTTAATAATTAAGGTAACGAATCACATTTTGACACCGTCACTTCCATCTTTCTGCAAGCCTAAACATTTACCGAACAACTATGAATACGAATGTATAGCCTAAGTAAATGTTTTATCCGAAAAAAAATTTTCTTCACTGAATCCTCGTTAATTCCATTCAATGACACACATTTCTCTCAATAAGCACTATTTCCGTTCATTCGTTTAGTTTTTACATTAACACACTCGTTTTGTATTTCTTTGTAAATCACCATTTGCTTTGTGGAACCCACTATTCCGTGCCCCACTGTACCTCTATTTATTCAATTAAATAAATAAATAATCATCTATTATTACAAACTACCATCCGATTATTTAACTCTCCATTTGATATTTATCATATTCACGTGTATTTTCGTCCATCTCTTAACAGCCATTTCAATCTCAATTACTTTTTTACAATCAGCAATCAGTTATGTCCTATTTTGTTTAAGAAGTTTGAGAACAACATTGGAAATCCACCGTTTGGAAGTAAACATTGCTTCCAGGGAAGTGGATTCTACAAACGAATGTAAGAATTCTCGAGAATTCACTATCCAACAGAAGAATCATCAAGATCCTCATTGTTGTTGATGTTTACGCTTCACAATAATACGACATAACAGCAAACTCGATCGGGTATTTGAACGGCTGATCAGTGATTGAAAGATTATTGGTGAACTCCCCAAAGCACTTGACTTTCTACTACTCTGCTTGAGCTTCAATTCGATTTTACTAATTTGTGCAGCTCAATCTTATTCTCACCACTTATACAAGATGTATGGATGATCAGTGATCACGCACATATGTACTATGCTACCGAATTATATTAATCTATTCCGCTGTCTGACAATGCTAACTTGGCTTCCAATTACTCAACAGTCACCATCGAAATTGTTAAAAATGTGGGCAATATCTGCTTAATATGAACTATGATTGGTACAATAAACCAGGTATAATATCAACTTTTACTGTGGATAACTAGTTGAGGTGTATCGAGATATGCTGAACAACAAGAAAAGTTCAGCGAAATCCCCATAGTCGCATATGAATCAAATTCATGACTGTATTACTACGTTAAGTAGTTGCATCACTATAGTGCTTAGTGATAAATATACATTTGTAACATTGAGGTCGATAAAATTTCCTGTGTACTTAATTGCTGTTTACTTTCATAATATAATTCTTATAAGCTACCTTATATATGAAAATAGCTTGATCGGAACATATAAATCATCACTGGGAATTCTAAAACTCCTATTAACTACAAAGATTGTCACAGAATGTCCTGAGAAATAACAAATCGATAACGACAGAAAAATTTTTATTCACTCAAGCATGATGTAAACGCACATTTATGATGATTTAAAAAATTTAGTGGATTATTGAAAAGTAAGAAAACGATTACATAATAATGTGCTTGATAATTGAGTTTATTGAAATAGGGTTATGGTGTTCAGTGCAGTGTTCATGAAATTTTATTTGCTTTTATGTGCTACAAATCAACATTGAAACGAATCATAGAAGAAGAAGGCGAGAAAGAAGAAGAAAAAGAAAAGCAACAGAATAGTTGTTAAATCAGTAATCGTAACGATTTCCGAACAAAACAAACCTAATAATTCACAATTATTATCATCAATTCGAAACGTGACTTCGATAACTTTCGAGCATCATCTAGACTAAACAAAATAATGCATTTAAGCTTAGTAACATCATGCAAACTAATCACGGTCATGAAGTGTTATCTGATTAGTGTAATCAATATAACGAATATGTTAAAATATTTATCGCCTCAACACAAAGGATGTGTGTTTATGAACTGAGTAAAACTAAAATAACAGTCACTGTATATTATCACTACGAAATTCATTTTCCACACAATATACTACTGATAATTATACAAAAGAGTTTAGTCGATGAAATAAATTTAATTTACTCACAATTCACACTTTTATTTTTCGACGATTACCTTCATTGACAATGTTTGTTAGGAATCGATGTGTCACTGAAATGTTCGTAAATAGACACTGAGTAATTCATTGCAAGTTGGAATAAATGGTGTAATTTCACTAACTGATTCCGCAACATATCCTTCTGATACATTCAATCGTAAAGTGTGACTGGTGTACTGTTTAATAGTACATCCAGTTGTTTCGCTTCATGTACGTTATTCGGTGAGTAAATGCACTAATTTTGAACTACACTTAGTGATTACCATAGACACTACATGCTTTGCAAATATACTGTTCATTAAGTCACATTTATATACGCGAATAAAATCTGGTATTACTTACACAAATGTTTATTGTAATTCCTTACAATTTCGTATTTTGTAAAAGTCAATGTAAGTAAATTGAACATGTCTGGAAAATATCAAAGGACAATCATAGTTAAAAATTGAAAGTATATTCAAATCTTCCACTCATAATCTTCAGCCTATAATCCTATAGCGAAATGATCAGTTTGCATTTTCAAACCGATACACAAAGAAATGGTAAGGCGTTTTGTCAAAGAATTCTTTGAATTTGTGGATAATATAAAAAATCGATCGGTCAAAATTAACTCTATGATATAATTAGATGTATTGGCTTCATTCAGTAACATTGGCCTAGGGGAATCAGTGAATTTTATTTGCAGTGAACTAATGGAGAGGCATAGAGAAACTTTCATTTCCGTGTCTGAAATAAAACATTTAACTCATATACTGTCGACTATTGAATAGTGTAGCCCTTGTTTCACCATTGAGTCCTCCTCTGGCACATTATTTCACCTCCAAACTGAAAAATGAACCAACATTAAACAACCGCTCGATAATGAAAACAACCACTAAACAAAAACAGCCTAATTTTTTCAAATCCCTGTTTATTTTCCAATTTAACTGCTCCTGTGGAGCCAGTTACATAGGACGTATAATTCGACAAGTCCGTCAAGACATAGCATAACACCATCCGTCTTGGTTGTAAAAGGAAATATAAAAGTGATTAGGGGTTTTATTCTCGCTCTTTTTGCTGGATTTGATACATTATATTGTTCACCATCTTCCATATAATTTACCATATGACTTGCGAATTTGTATGTTGCATATTTTTGAAGTTATCGGAATCCATGTTTTCAAACCGAACATTTCAATTAGAAAGAATTTAATAGATTGATGAGTCTAACATTTTCGGAATTAATGCCTCTCTCCTTCTGAAGAGTTTGGAGACACAAATAGAAGGTTGATAGTTAGAACGTAGGTTACCTGTTAAATGAATAAATTTCATAAACCAGGAGCCCGTTAGTAACTGTTTTCGAGTTCTTATCGTTATCTACTCAGTTGAGTAGACATAACAGTTCATTGTTGCACATAGTTTCATGGGAACATTATGATATAAATCTGGGATATGCAGTGTATATCATAATTCAAAGAGTGATATACTTCAGCTTACCTGCATGAGTTTTCGGTTCGGGTATTACACATGTTGTTCCTGTTATCACTGTTCAATTAAAAAAGTTAATATTGAAGTCCAGTACTTTACACATGTTACTCAGACATTTCTCCTATACAACAGATTGTGATCACTTTTAGGCAGTCACACTCAACTACCTTTCATGTGAGTGAAAATGCATGCTTCTCGAGTCAAAACAGGATCCAAAACTCATATCCAGTCATTATCTACTGAAAAAAGCTCTGGTCATTTCCATAATGCTTCTTATCATCCACAATAAAATGGAATTATCACAACCTTCATCTGTACATGAGCAACTGATAAATTAGCAATGGGTTCAGAGTTCGCAAACACACAGTGGTTTTTTTCTTCGCCGTTAAGTTTATTCCTTAAATGCATAACATCACTATCAACATTATTTTTAAGACGTTTGGATGAAGACGCTTCTCAGCATAATTATCCGTTAGTCTATATATTTCATGCACAGATATGCTGCCTTCTTCAACACTATAATACTACCAATTCATTGTATTTACAAAACAACCTGTATCTGAGTGCTACCCTTGAATTGCATTCGGATGTTAACAAATGATGCCACACTCTTTTCCATCACTCTGATAAACTATTAAGTTTTCATTTGGGATAAGTTGACTGTTGATCAGTCGCACTACACAAATTACGCATAACTTGTCTCTCATTTGATTCGCTTTCATACTTTAAGTTGTGGAAGTACTGGTGACTGGAAGTAGTACACTCCGACGTTACACAGGATACTAGAACTGGAATATGTTATCAGTACTCATGAAATTATATGTTCGTAATTTCAAAATTAGGTTTTGGATTTATACCACAAGTTCATAGGATTTTCAGTACAATATGTCTTTTGATTGTGAGTTCTATCCATCGCTTAATTAAACAATGTGTTTGTGTGCAATTCTCATTATGATTTTCAAAATTGTGAGGTGCAAGTTAATTTCATGACTTATGTAGATTTGGTCACTCAACTAACAAAATTGATGAAAGTCTGAAAGTCAAATGAAATTCTGTGGAATATAATTACAAGAAACGTGTCGTCAGGTCATCTTATTTTGAAGACAAAGTAACAATTGACATGCATTATTTAACTGAATAGTTATGAATACTAACTCTTACCGGAAAATTTGGGAATCTCTCCGTCGACGCACTTTCGTAGAGTGGAAGATTTCTGGACTGTTATACCTACATATACCAGAATTAATTATTAGATAGACTTTATATTATATCATGTAGAAGATAACATATATAACATTCTCCATTAAAACTGTCTTCTACATCATGATAGATCACACGAAAAATAGATTCTAATCACCATTGATGGGTTTATGCATAGTATGAATATAGAAATTGATAAACTGAAATAAAAGACAAATTTTGAATAAATAATGGACTTGAATAATACAAATTAATCAAGTAATTCAACTACATACCGTATGAACCGATGTCGGATATGACGTCCTTAAACTCTAAAATATTTAAAGGAAAATTAAGAACATAATTTTATGTGAAATTAGTGCGTTTGTTTCTACTAAAAATAGATGTAATAGACAAGTATGGAAGTCTAAGTTTTGTATATGTTCAATATATTCATTGTAACTAGTAACCACTGTAACCGCTTTGTCAGCTTCCTAAATTGCTACAATAGATTGTCATCCACTCTCGAAATTTATGCAACAGTGAAATCCGGGATACGTGAAACGACCTATTTGGAAGTCGTCAAATGGATATTACTTCGTCTCAATGCTGACTTTGACACTTAGATTCTAACTACATATATGTTCTCAGATATAGTAGACGGATAACTTACAATGGATACACATGAAAATTATCGACATCTGACCACATAATTTAGTATCATTCAGTCATCAAATGATAACGAACAGTGCTCTTCGGAGATGTATGTACGTTTTTTACTGTATAATCATTCACATGAATAATTTATTGCAGTCATTGGGAATTGTACTTCCACCTCCATCGAACATCAATTGGACCCAATAGAAGTATACCTTTCTAAAGGTTCTAATAAGAAGTTAAATACATTCATTCTGGGACAGTAGGAATTTATTCACCTGACACACTCTACTCATCTCCTCACAGTTCAAAACAGTAGTACTGATTACTGAATTTGTGAATATATATACTTTATATCACATTTACGGAATATCAAGTTTCAGATGACATAGGGGAGTGTTAATAAACGGAATCTAATATGGGAGAACTCTGTGGGATGGTACCTTAGTGAGCCTTCTGTGTGGTGAGTGTGTACGAGTATTCTAAGATGAAAGTGTTTGAAAGCTCATGAAGAGAAGTGATGTAAAGCAATTCATTTTTGAAGTTATATATTATATAATTCTATCCAATGAAATTTTGACTTGAAGAGGAAAGCGAGTTATAGATTAATGTTGAGAATATTGCCTGTTAGTGTTAGTCAGTCATTAAGGGAAGTTCTCGTTGCTAAACAATGTTGTAAGATAAGTATACGTTGAAAAAGCACACAAGTAGCTCATAAAATGTGAATCAATAACCTTATCAAAAGTGAACGAAAATATTCGAAAATACTTTAAAAGCACCTTTTATTGAAAATTCATAACCTGACTGATTTTTCGTTAAAGAGTTCAAGCATTTGACAACTACAATTCATCAATGTTATTAAAGTACTAATATCACATTCACATACATTCAGTAACTGTATCTAAAGGAATTGAGAACTTCTGGACAACCACACCTAAAATTTAATATAAACGGTAAATGTATAATCATCATGTTGCATCATTGAGAATTTAGTAAACTGTGTGCAAATTGTTCTATTAAGTGATTTATAAAATAAAGATAAAAGTGCTATCTTGTCACGTATATACATTTACCACCGTCAGGCATAAATAGTCAACCCGAAATCAACTCTACATATCATTGAATATCGCATGGTAACTTCAACATGTTCCGAAGGTTTCACATTTGTTCTTCTGAAAGAGGTGATTTGTCTAATTCACCCAACATGTGTCCAGATAGTAGTCGCAACGCACAAATAAACTTTCACTGTTCATAATAATCACCAATGTATTTCACACACACATTGTGATATGTACAACCAACCAACCAACAAATTCAATACAATGTTTATCGAATTCAGCGTATTACAAAATAAGTAATCTATACTGAGAACTGCAATATGTTAACAAAATGAATAAGTTCGTTAATAAATTACCTATTTGTTTCTTTAGTTCCTCCTCAGATTTGTAAAGATCTGATTCGTCTTTCTTCAAATTATCTAACAAGTGAATACGAGATACAGTTGAAATATAGAAGGAATACTTTAGTGAAAAATGTGCGAATTCAAAAAGATAAGTGTAGATACATAATGCATAGCAAGAGAATTCTACAGGTATAGAAATTAAAATGCAAACTGTGAAAACCATACATTCATTGCATACATCTCAATATCGTAAAATCTACACCATGTATCAATTCACCTACATGAAGAACTATCTATCTACAAATCTATCCATCACATTACCTGTCTCTGCCTGTCTATCCATATATCTGCCATTTTATCTAATAGTCTATCTAGCCATCTATTCATATATACAACCATTTATCTGTCTATTAGTGCTAACATCTTTCAATCTATGTATCCATCTTTGTATCTACCCATTGATTTGTTCTTACATTTGCCCTTCTATTTGTATATCCATCTTAAATTTCAAAGTGATATCTGTGTATGAAAATTATTCTTTAATTTCACAATTCACTCGTACTGTCGTCCCACACTTGCTCACTCTCTTCATACATTCCTCTAATCCTCCAGCGTATTCCACCAAACATACATTTATTTATCTGTTACTTCAAGTGAATGGAAGCAATGAACCACAATGCTGGAGGAGGAACTCAGTCAGAAGCAAACCTGCGTACATCCGAGTTGAAATCTCACTTGTGTACGCGATTCGTCCATTCACATATGATAACAAAGAGTATGAAATATCTATGAATCCACAAAAATGTTACCTGATAAACTTTGTAAATGACCCTTAACATCATTCAAACTATATGCCTGTTGTTTTGTCCCATCTACAATTTGAACATAAATGAGTTTAGTTGAAAATGCGAACAAATACATGAGGTAAAACAATGAAATTAAGAGAAAGTTTTCTATATTTTACGTTTGATCTTTCACGAATAATTAAGAGAGCACAATTTGTGATAATTTCAAACAGATGGCATGTTCAAAATATTCCTGTTTATTTGTAAGATCACGAAACATTTGCAAGGTGTAAACTATACTGGTATTATTAACCAATTCATGCCATGATACACATTCATCCAATATTGTTCATACACCAATACGATGATCAAAGTATCATTCCAAATTTCATCATTATATAAACGCATTCACTCTTAATTTAAGCTATTTCGTTTTGTTGAAACTAAACCTTTCTCATGTTATAAAACTAACTGAACTTGGAACCATTGAGATCAACTCAAATGACAAATCATCAGACTTTGAAAGCTTGCAACAACTCACACATCGGTTAAGTAGAGGTGTCACAACCATTCACTGAACTTCAAAGGTCTGTAGGCTTTAAAGAGTTACCTGCTACATTCATAGATATTTTGAAAAGAACACTTTCTCCTAAACATCCATTCATGATGAAAAATATTTAGAGGTATCCGAATGTTAACTGAATTTCATTGACAAGTATGTGATTTCTTTAAGCTCAAATATCAACATTTTCATTCACTTACGTTATTTTAGTCTCTCAAAATCTAAACACCATACACATTTAAACATACAAATAAAGATATTGCAAGTAGTATGTACATGAATACTTAACGACTTACTAACTTGTACGGAGGCAAGTACAAGCAAAAGTAACACGTTTATTTGAAACAATAACAAATGCTTCATACTTACTATGGATGTTCATTTGAATTTTTACTCTTTATATAGTGTCACCAATCGTTCAAAAACTGTCATTGAATTGCTTAGTGTCAACAAATATGATCATAAAAATAAACAATACAGATTTATTAGAAATTATATGGAAGTCAAAGTGTTTTTATGGCGTGATACTGAAAAGAATTTCAATCATCATTGAGTTCACATTTCTCCAGGGTGAATATACAATTTGAATATAATAGATTATTAATTACACTTACACTTGTGTTGGCCTTATGAACTTGAAATAAATTTGACAAATGAAAAAAAATAAAATTCTGTTTTTGTTAAATATTTTCACATTTAAAGTTCATCAACAAAATAAATATTATGTAAATACAAAATGAACAGTGTAAAACTATAATTATCAGAATTACCTAAAATATCATGAGTTTGCCTCACACACAGCTTAACACATCTAATGCCACCACAGCACTATCAGTAGATGGTATCGCAAATAGCATTGTTGAGTTTCATTGTGATGCCTATGACAACGTTACTTGTAACATGTGCTTCCGGCGTTATGAAAACCTATTTATATTAGATTTTGCTAATCAAGATTATGCTTGGAAGGTTCGGCTGCTACTTCGAAAATTAGACACAAGTGAGCTAGATATGTAGTGTAATTTGATCCTGCCTTTGAACCCACGTGATCACTGATTCCCAGACATTGTTCAGACATTAGATCTACATTTCGGTGACACCTCATCATAGTTTAATACTCGTTATCGATGTTTGAAGCCAATTATGAACGAACACTATGACTATCTTACGCATGTGGGCATCGTCAACCATGAATGCGAACGCTTCCAGTTGTAGTCTTTGTCTGAAGGCCAATTTAAAGCCTTCATCCACATTTTCAGCCTTCATTCTCGAAAGTCCATTGACATAAAAATACGGCTGCTGTGTCGATTGGATTAAGATCTAAAACTCTCCCTTAGTGACATGGCCAATGTATACCAACGTCTCAATAATATGCGACGAGACACGTCTATCATTCAGAGTTTTGGGTTCATTCGAACTCTCGCGATTCGGCCTGTGAGTTAAGCCATAAGCGTTTCAGTGGCTGCTCCAATGAAGTACTAGTAGCGCAACAGATACCTTGCCAAAATGAATGTGCCCCTGCTACGTCAAGTCCATCCGGCTCCAGCCCAGTGCAATAGGCTGAAACGAATACTCCTGCCCTTGCTGGCACTGTGGTGCATGGAACTGTGTACGAAACTGGTCATTTAAGCAACGTCGACTGAGGAAGTGTAGAGACGTCGGTCATAAAGATGTGTCTTGTCTTAGGAGAAAGCCAAATCGAACCAGAAGTACCGAAAAGACTGTTCCGTTATCCTATACCACTTTGTTGAGCCTAGTATCTTCTTGTCAAAGCTCATCCCCAAATGAAAGGAGATTCATTACTCCCAACAATAATGGACCTTCGTGTAGATGGCAGATAGATACGGCATTAGATGTCACCATCCTCTGGCGTAAAAACTGGAACAAATCGGGCAGCCCAAGTCTGCAGCCGATAGCACAAAAGCATCGCAACGGTTGTAGTAATTACCATCGCTTGTTAGGACAATTTGAATGTAAATTTACTTTCCTAGATTCGTCTTTTACTACGGTATGCCAGCTGATCTGAATTTACTTGGTTTAGATTGGTTCGACCGGCTAAAATTAGCTGATGCCCCATTAAACATTATATGCCGCCTGGTATCACAACCACATGGTCCTGTAGCATATAAATGGAGTGCCAAAGTCTCATCAGTTTTACGGCCAAAACTTGATCGTCATTGGTCCAGGATACACGTGGATTTCGCATGCCAAAATAATTAAACTATGCATTTATTTGTGATAGACGACCTTTCAAAACGGTCAGAAATCAGGCGTATGTAAGTAAGTAACACAACAAACAGTAACGAAACTGCCATGAATTTTACCACCTCAACTACCATAACAAATAATACAACTGCAGTAGTGGGAAAAAGTACAGACGCGGATGACCATCTCTATCTGAATACAATGCTATTAAATGAATTATTCAAAACTGAGAACTATGCAGCAATTGCTTCATTATCAAAATTTCAATCACTTGTCTCAGATTTCATTCTTCCTTCGTTTTCACACCAATCACTCTCTGTTCTCGTTCTCTCCTCTTTGATTTTCTTAACCGTTTGCCGCCATGCATTTCACTTTCGGTTTACGACACATACTACTTATATATGCCGATATCGGTAGCACACGCCACACTACTACTACTGATACTAATAATACTATTGGGGCAGAGATTTCACCACTAATGCTAATGGCATATCACACAGCATGTAAGCAACATATGAAAACCACACATTCAGTTCATCATTTGAACACCTTCGCGTTGTCCTTTATGCATTCCATTATCCCTATTATTTCGTACTTGTGTTGGTTGCTCACTGATTTATTTTCCATTCCCTTGATTTGAATCTTCGGCTTGTGAGTACTCCACTTCCGATGGCTGCTACATTTTATTTATGTGCCAGCAAAAGTAGTATACACAACACTCCTACTGCCACCACTCCTTCAATTGCTACTACTACTACTACTTATAATACTAATACTACTGGTAGTACCATAGCTATTTAAAAATACAACTGTAACAACAACCAACAGTCTTAAAACTATTAATATCAATACTTCTATAAATATAACTACAATTGACCCCAAAACGATTATAACTAAAAATACGAGAAGGAGTAGATACAGCTACTGCTATCAATACTAAAGCTAGCTAGCAGAAGGTGGAGACCAAAGAGAAGAGAACAAGAACAGAGAGCGATTGATGTCAAAACGAAGAAAGAATGAAATCTGAGACAACTGATTGATACTTTGCTAGTGAAGTCTTTAATGTTTGGTTCTCAGATTTGACTAAAACATTCCGTAATGTTGTTTCGTTTGTCTCATTAGTGTACTCATTTAATGCAATACTACTATCACTAGTGCCTTTACTATTACCAGCATCACTACCATTGATTCTATCACTTATTGACTTACATATGCCCTAATGAGGGGAGGCATGTTTTAGTGGCATTTTAATTCAGTACGAAAAATGTATGAATCATGTATCGGTCACTAGTCCTAATTTTCTAATTTGAATTTCATCGAGAGAGTACTTCGTGAATTGCAATGACAATGTGTGAATAACATATACCTTAAGATAATTCTTGTATCAATTTATATTCTCGTTTGAGTGCAGTCTAGGAGAATTGTAAGTGTTTCATCTCATAATACTGATCAAAAGTGCATGTCGCTAGCAGGAATTATATAATTTTTATCACTGAGAATTAGACGAGAAGCCCAAACTAGTTCAGTTTTCTTTTATTTAGCGCTTTGATGTCATCAAGAAAAGGCAAACAAGAAATATAGTGAACGTAAACAATACCTGTCATGTCCTAATGAAATGATGTGGAATTTGCTGATCAGTGCCAAATAATGAGATGTCTGAAAGTTTTTCATAGTTGATTGGCTTTGATTGTTATATGTTTCAGGAGCAACAGTTCATGAGAATAAATACTGAGGCGTAGGTTTGTAACAAAAAAAAAACAGTTTCAATGTTCATCACAGAGAAGATAAAATCTCATGATTCTGTATTTCTTTCATTCTATCTATCTTATTTATTATTATTTATTTAAACACATAAATATTGGTACAAGGAAGCACCAGATAAATATGCGCCTCACAAATCTCATTCGATTTGTGTGAGGGCTGTGATACTGCTCAGGTGCCCAGACTGAAGCAGGTGGTTTTCTTAGAGGGCCACACCCGGAGCCTTTGACCTTAATGTCTAGGCATTGGAGCATCGTAAGGAGATGCAGTCCCATGGTAGCCGGTGACCAAGTTGGTTCATACGTTATTCGTTCCTTCAGGATACTGGAGCCCATGTGCACCATTGGTTTGGAATCAGTATTTTTCCAGCTCCTCTAGGTGGATCCTGCACATCCACCAACCCGGTTAAAGCGCCGGACATTCGCGTTTCGTCCTCTTACTTTTTGTGAACAACACCCCCGCCACGAGAAGGCAGTGAATAGTACTTCTTTGGCAGAGGCTATATGTTCGCGTGGCCATATGAGAGCATTTCGAGAAGGAGAGAAGACTCTTCCCACTCTCGGCCGTACCAGGGCATCTATCCATCTATAGATCTGTTTGTCTGTTTTCCTATCTACGAATTAATTTCAATATCAGTTCATCTATATATAAAATTGATATAATCGGTTGTTTTTGTTAATTAAATCGCAGATTTCTTCACCTCAGTAGTTTTTGGTTATTTTCCATTTCCATGCAAGTCTGAAACGAAACTGGTCTATGGAATTCGGCACAAACAATTAATTAATAATAATATATTCTGAAAATATTATTTACAGAATTCACACCAGTTTACAGGCATGATCAGATTGTTATAAAAATCAACATTTAATGTAGAGAACAAACATGAAATATAAGAAAGTTTTATGTTTGCTGGTTTAGTAATTGATAAATAGTTTATATATGGCATATATCACGGCAAGCCAATGCAACACCAGGGAACTTGTCATTTTTTCTTAAGTGGATAGCCTGATGATTAATCAACGTTGTTCTGTAAGGTTATTTCCAGTGCCAGAGCGAATCATCTCTGCACTGATTTCAGCCTAAATTGATCCTTTATTCGCGCAACACTATAATGAACGTGTAGTATGCTAGAAGTGGTCGAACACAAACCATGTACATTTAAATACGTGAATCATGTTAGAAATGGTTTTGAGTTATGTAACTTATTAGACGTTGCGACTTGGAAGTCCGTCTCAATATCTGCTCTGTAAACGACAAGTCGTAGGCGTACCTATGTCTCAAGTCTACTACTGTGTGTAACACAGATAACACTTCATTTATGTAAGTTGAATGATATATTACCGAAGCATATTGCAATATTTAAGGGTATTTGAACTGTAATATGAACCAGCATTAACAGC